TTTAAATTTTACCATTTACCTGTTGTATTCCAGCACTTTCCTCCCAGTGCAACTACTCTCCATTTTGAATTTTATGCTGATGATGTACCCATCACACCGTCTTCTGGAGGGGCTACTGCTGCCCCTACAGCAACTATCAGCGGTGCTAACCCACCATCAACACCGAAACCGAAAGGCTCTAGCAATCCGACTAGTGTTATCCATATTCCCAATATAGATGCTCTCGAAAAAACACCTGCACAAATCATGGATCAGCTTCTTACTACCTATGCTGTGCCGAAAGATAAACAGGTGTCTATCAGATTTTAGCTCTCAAAATGTTGACCATTACTACTACACTTGTTACTCATGTTCGAAACTTAATTCCATCTCTCTTGTTTCTAGATGGTGCTGTTCACTCACCTCCGTCTTGCTCACAGCTTTGCTAATTACCAGAGACGACTGCAATGTGTGCAAGCTCGTCTTCAGGCACTATCTGTCTTAGTGTATTCTAATGCCCTTGCGGATAATTCCCATTCTCTTCTGTACCCGGGACTCATGGAGGAGTTAGTTGAACTTCTAGAAATAGCATCACCGGATCTGGTTGATATCAGAGCTGCTGCACTCCGTACACTTACATCTATTATTCATCTTGATAGAAGCCCGAATTTCCCTCAGTATGTTCAGTTTCTTACTCAGCTTGGAAGTTTTTCTGTGAAGGAACTTTAAGTTTTCATGCCACCTTTCCTATGATTACAGCCGCAAACCAGGTGCTAGACTAAATATGATTATAGATGTGACTGGAGCAGGTTCATACCATGGGTTCTTGCCTGTCCTAGTCCGAACTTGCATAGCATCTCTAACAGCACCGTCAAATCAAGCTGGATCGTCTACTGGATCAGAATCTGCAGCATTTCCTCTTCCATTAGCTACTGCTTTATTTAGTTTTCTCTACCATTTAGCTAGTTATGAGGCAGGTGGGGAGGCACTTGTTAGCTGTGGAATGATGGAATCCCTACTCAGGGTTATTAACTGGCCAGGCAGTGAACTAGAACACATAACTGTAAGTAACTCCCAACTTTTGGTGTTCTTGCTTATGCTCTAACAAATTAAAGGTGACCTAAACGTTTGATTATGTTTTACAGTTTGTTACCAGAGCTGTTAGAGTAATTGATCTAATTACAAACATTGAAATGCAGGCCTTCCAGGCACATGGAGGTCTTACAAGTTTCATCAACAGGCTAGAGGTACTTTATCTACTTTACCCTCTATCTACAGTGTGTATCTATAAATTGTGCTAAGTAATTCACATTACAAATTTGACTTTTGCAGATGGAAGTAAATACCTGCAGAATAGAACAACCCTTCGAAATCATTCCACCAGGTCATCAGCCGCATGATATGGAAGAAGAAGCACGGCTTGGTGAAATTGCTGCACAGAGTCCAGACACATTTGATGAGTTAGTATTATGGCCTCCTGTGAAAAGTCATCTTTGTGCTTTGTAATTAGAACAAATTATTATTATTTTTTCTCCACCCTTTGCAGTCAAGATATGGAAACTGAATCACCACCCATGGGTGAGCAAGAGGGTGTTGAAAATCCCTCTGGTTCTTCTGTACCTGGGGAAAATAATGAAACTCAACATGAAGCAGACCAAGGGGACAAGCAAGCCGAAGAAGACTTGTTCCCTAACTATGACTATAGTGCAGCCAAAACTGGAAGAACTTGTCTGCCACAGAGGGCAGCTCTTCTGAAGTCGATGTTAAACTTCTTGAAGAAAGCAATTCAAGTTGAAGATCCAGCTTTTTCTGACAGTATTCGAAGAGTCATGGAGGGCTCTTTACCATCATCACTAAAGCACATCATTAGCAACGCCGAGTATTATGGACCTTCTCTGTTCTTGCTTGCAACAGATGTTGTCACAGTTTATGTATTCCAAGAACCTTCCCTGCTCTCTTCTCTCCAAGACAATGGCCTGACTGATGTTGTCTTGCATGCTCTTCTGGTCAAAGAGGTACCTACTAAGTTGTTTCCTATTTCTACTATGTTTATTTCTTCATTTGAAAAAAAAAAGAACAATATACTCCTTTTGTTATTTTAGGTTCCAGCTACAAGGGAAGTTCTTGGCTCTTTGCCAAATATGTTTTCTGCCCTCTGTCTAAATACACGGGGCCTACAAGCATTCCAGAAGTGTCAACCATTCCCTCGTATTTTCAAAGTGCTGTTATCACCAGCCTACCTTGCAGCAATGAGAAGAAGACGCAGTTCAGAGCCCATGGGGGATACTGCTGCAAGTCTAGGAAATACTATGGATGAGCTAATGAGACATCAGCCGACATTGAAACAACCTGCAATGGCAGCCATTGTGAAGGTACATAACCTTTTATTTTTGTTTCCTAAATTAGTCAGATGACCCTGTGTGTCTTAAGGCTTCCTGAAATCCTAAATTTTATTATATCTGTCTTCTCCAAAATCCAGTTGCTTGAAGAACTCTGTGAGTTAGGCCGCAATCCTAAGTTCGTCTGTTGGAGAGCTCAGAACAAGCAGGATGTATCTCCTGCAGCTATACCTAACAGTCAGGGAGGTAGTGGCAGTAGCAGCAGTAACACTGAGGGCACAGGAAGCAGTGATGAAGATGATGAGGATGAAGAAGAGGCATCAAGCTCTTCTCACCAGCCTCAATCGGCTGTAGAATCGGCTGCAATCACCAGTGCATCAGCTTCAAGTAGCAGCACTGAAAAAACACCTATAGCACTCATTGATTACATCATCAATGTGGTAAGTTCACTGTAACCAAAGTCATTCATGCACAAGTAGAATTAATTTCTCATGGTGGAACTTATTTCTAATTTTGAATTTTTTAAATTTTTTTTTCCAGATGAAATTTGTAGATGCTATACTCAGCAACAATTCCACTGACGATCATTGCCGTGAATTTGTTAATCAGAATGGTCTTGAGCCTCTGTTGTCAGTTCTAGGTCTTCCAAATTTACCTGTTGATTATCCAGTTACAACAGCAGCTCAAAGTGTCTCAGCTGTCTGCAAATCAATTTTGGTCAGTATGTGATGGCCTGTATTTGCTTTAACAATATGTGGAACTTCAGATGTATTATATCTTGTTTTCTATCTATTATTACAGAATTTGGCACATGATCCACATGTTCTTCATCAAGGACTCACCCAATTGAGCTTTGTACTTGGCACTCTTAGACCCATCTACACATCCCGTTCCATGGGTGGTTTGTGCTCTGTTTTGCTCCAGGAACTAGTCCGAGCACCATCTCTAGAAAATGCTTTTAGCACTCCATCTGCTACTCCACTGCTACATGCCATGACTGCTGCGCATGGATATGTCACTATGTTTGTTCATGTTTGCCGTACTGGACAGGTATAAGATTATCTATTTTACAAATGTGAATGTTTTGTTTTAATTTAAATGTGTTTTCTAATTTTTGACTTTTTTCTACACCTTTTATCCAGGCTGACGTGAGGGCTATTTCAGTTAGAAGTTGGGGCTCAGAATTGGGTTTGAAAGTTCTGAAGGCCCTTTCTGAGCTGTATGTCTCCCTTGTTTGGGAAAGCACTTTACTTTTAGCACTTTGCAGTGATGACATTCTTCCACCTGGCTCTGATTTTGGAAAAGAAGATATGGAGAAGTTGCGTCCAGCAAATGAATTGGATGGCTCTAATTCCGCTCTTGCTGACATGGGAAGCAATGGAATGACTTCTGCTATGGAAGCTTTGAGCACCACTGAGCAACAACCCGGCAGCAGTATGGAAGTAGAAGGTGCAGCAGCTACAGCTGGCCCGAGTAGAGTATCTCGCGGAACCACTTGTTGTGGTACAACCCCAACACAACTCAAATACATCAAACCTCTTCTTGGAGCATCTTCTCGGCTTGGCAGAGCATTAGCCGAGTTGTTTGGACTACTTGTGAAGGTAACATCTGAGGCATTTGACTTCAGCTCTAAGCAACTTGGTGTTATCATACTGCTTTCTTATTATCTTTTATTTTCTGTCTCACAGCTATGTGTGGGCTCACCAATCCGCCCTCGCCGCACGCAGCCAGGACCTAATGCACCTGCTCAGCCAACTCCATGTGCAAGAGCTGTCGCCACTTCTCTTAATGCGCTTCTTGCAAGAGGTCTCAACTACAGTCTTCTGCCAACAACACCTATTCCAAAACTTCGACTGACCTTCCTTATTTGCTCAGTCGGATTCACTACACCTATGTTATTTGATGAGAAAAAATATCCTTATCACTTAATGTTGCAAAACTTTGCTGCATATGGAGGACTTGAAAACTTCTTTGAGTAAGTAATTTTTTTTTGTGATTTTGGCGTAAATGTATTTTTTTTAATTGTGTGAGTTTGTTTAACTTTATTTATTTATTTTTTTCCTAATCTAGGACTTTCCGGTGGACTTTGTCGGCTGGGTACACTATTCCTCTGGAAGAAGGTTTGGAAAGTCCTGACCTCCCAGAGGGTACAGGAGAATTTCTTGATTCTTGGCTCCTCTTATTGGAGAAAATGGTCAACCCAAGAGCCATTTTGGATTCACCTCATGCTATCAACAAAGTATCTACTTCTCAGAAACCATTTGATCCGTATCAGTATTTGAGCAACATCCATAAAATGGCATTTGACGCGGTCATGTTGATGTGGGGTAAAAAGCCACTGAAAACTTATGGAGCTAGGATGTCAGAATCAATGTTAGCCATCCTACGTCACATATTGAGAGGTGAAAAACTTATGCAAGAGAAACAGTTGAAAGATGAAGAAGCCAAGAAAACTGAAGCTGGTGCTGAGGGTTCTTCAAGTTCTAGTAGCTTGGCTCGGAGGCCAGGTGAACCAGCAGGACCTCAAATAAACCAAGACTTTTTACGCGCTTTGTTGGATATGGGATTCACACGAGAGCTGGGTGAAGAAGCTCTGATGCAATGTACTACTCTTGAGCAAGCTACTGATTATCTTTTGAATCATCCTACACCTCACACACGTTCAACATCGTCTTCAGCTGCAATTGATGCTGAAATGTCTGAAGATGATCAAATGTTAAGAGCTATTGCCATGTCACTTGGAGACACTGGACTTGATGCTACTCCAACACCAGAGAGAGATCAAGAGATGGAGGTAGAGCCGCTTTCTACCAAAGACATTGACAATTTTACAAATATGGCTCTTCCTACTTGCCTTGAGTTGCTGGATATGCTGCCTGATACTGTTTACAGAGTGTGTGATCTCCTTGTAACTATAACTAAGCGCAATGGTGACCAGTTCCGCAATGAGTTACTAGACATGATGACCAATGAAATTTCTGATAAAGTTGCTATTCTTTTGAATTCCATTAATAGTAACAGACCACGTTCTGAGGTAGCAAATTACTTATATGGAACTACTGCTGCTTTAAAAGCTGCTGTTAGAATTCATCTCTTCACATTACTATTTGAAGGACCTATGATGCATGAAATGCGTACCCCTTGTGCTCTGGCTGTTCAGCGCTCTGGTATTTTAGTTCCACTTCTAACACTTCTCAAAGAAGGGTCAGCAGTTTTGGCTGAAGGTAAAATTTCAACTCCAAAGTGGCTTGCTCCTCTGCTGTTGATGTTAGATCTTTTGGAGAAGGTTGCACTTGCCACTCAAAGGAAAGAAGCTATGCATAAAGTATCGACGAGGCTCTGGAGGTGGTACGATCCAACAAGTGGAAGGTGGACACCGTATTCTGCTGCCAATAACAAGATTATCAATGATGCATATTGGAGTGGAGAGCCTGTTGCCCGTATTAGCTGTGGAAGACGCCGCTATGTTGTCCAATTCAGTTCCATGATGCAAGTTAATGAAGGCAGTGGTAACCGGCGTCCTGTCATAATGTCAATGCTAGACACATATCGTGAAGAAGTCCGTGGTCGGCGGGAGGAGCTGGGATTGGAAATGGAAATTGATGATTTAATTGAATGTGACATTCCTGCAGCTAACAATGAACTGGAATCCAAAAGAAATACACCTATACAAAACCTGTCGTTTGATGACTGTGCAAGCATAATCAAAGCCTGTGTCCAGTTGCTAAGTATTCCTGTGGATAGAGATGCTCTTCATGCTGCTATGCGAGTTTGCCTAAGGCTTACTCGAGATTTCAAATTGGCCACAATATTTGCTGAATTAGGTGGTGTCAGGATGCTTCTTGACCTCACCCAGAACTCAACTTTTAATGGATTCCTACAACTGTGTACCCTAATTATTCGGCATGTTATGGAGGAAGCAACTACCCTCTCGTTGGCAATGGAGAAGGTTTTAAGATCAATGACCCAACCAAATATTCCAGCGACTTATAAGGAACTCATGTATATGTTCAGAATGTGTTCCTCTGCTATCTGTCGGCATCCAGAGGTATTCAAGTCAACGGCTGAGCGTCTTCTGAGGGTGGACATCTCTCTTCATAAGCCAAGATGTAAGTTCTTTTAACATATTTTAAACTGGTCCTGGTGTGTGTATTCTAAATATAATTTTATTTGAATGATCAAACATGTACATAAATTTTCCTCACTTTCTTTTTCAGATGATGTGGAAGATACGAGATTATTGTTGAAATGCCTGCCATCCGGTCCTCATACTCCTGTACCAATGCATGAGAAGGTATCTCAAAGTGTTATTTTTGATCTTTTAAATGCTCTGGCTAGGGAGCCAGTGAAAAAAGAAGAAACTAGCACTTCTCCTTCAACACCTGTCTCTATGCTGCAAGATGAACAGCAACAAACTGATAACATACCTCAGCAAAGTGTCTTGGCTGCAGAGGTTTCTGATGTAAATATATCAGCTTCCCAATTCAATGCTGGCACAGCAACTGCAGCTGTTCAACTGTTTGTTCCTAGAGAGATTCCGCAAGACTTATTGGCAGAAGGAGCTGCCACTGCTGCAAATTCGAATCAAAGTAGTAGTGTGCCAAGCAATGGTGATGAGACTAAGAAGAACAAAGATGTACTCCTTAATTTCCCTCTACAACATGAGGAGGAGAAACGACTTCCGTTATTGCCTAAGTCCAGTATTCTTCGTTTGCTGGCTGAAGCTGTGAGGTCATATGCACCAGTTGCCAAGTTAATCACTGATTACCATTACACTCAAGGGCAGAGTGAGCTTATCACTGAAGACTGTTCTGCCCTTGCATTCCTTCTGGATAATCTCTTGCCTGCACATGAGAATAAGGCAGACAGAGAATGCCCCAATATGGTTCGGATGCTTGTTGCTGCTCTTGCCTCATGCACTCATTCTTACACTGCCCAGACAACATTGGTCATGGAGGTGAAAACTGCTTTATCTCGAACCTTGCAAATGCCAGAGTCATCTGAAAAAAGTAGTCAGATTCAAGCTCTTGCTGTTCTAATTTCTACTATGATTGAAAATTGTCCACCTAGCACAGCCACACCCCACAATACTACAGCTCAGAATCCACTGGGACTGAGGTCTCAGCAAATAAATGGTGTCAATAATATGGTACGCATCATGTTAAGAAGAGGTTTGGTTACTGATTTGGCACGTGTTGTGCACAGCCTTGACCTGTCAAGTCCAAACACAGCATCCACTGTCAATGCTGCACTGAAACCATTGGAAACTTTGTCAAGAATCATGGCTCAGCCCTCACCAGGTGCTTCTGCACTTCTTAAGCTTGCAAGATCCAAGATTCAGTCCCTGGAAGTGGATCCTCTTGCATTGCCTGGCACACCAACATCTGGGGCCACCCATGCTCAAGGCGAAGATGTGGCTGAAGATCCTGACAACACGGATCATGATGTATCAGGGGCCACAGAAAGTATGGAGCCTAATAGTGAAAGTAGACAACAAGAAGGAGATGAACCATGTCTCGATGATCTAATGGATGTTCTGGTTAGCCGGGAAAGGCAAGGCTCTACTTCATCAGCTTTTGTAAACCAGACAGAAGCCATGGATGTTGAAGCCCGAGATGAGGAGCTCCTGAGTTCTTGCCATCGCAACACTTTGTTCACAGAACAAGAGGATCACATTGATGATGAAAGCTCGGACTCTGGTAGTAATCAATCAGCAGAGGGAGAAGACCAAGGAGACAATGAAAATGAAAGTAGTTCAAGTTCTAGCAGCTCCTCCAGCAGTAGTGGAGATGAAGACGAAGATGATGATGAAGATGATGATGACGATGACGATGGGGATAATGCTGATGATGTTCAACAAAACGGAGATGACGGTGGATACGAAGCTGACAATTTGGAACTGTTTTCGTCAGATGAGGGAGTGTTACGTATCCCTGGTTTGGATCGAGACAACGAAGACATACTAATGATTCAGTATTCAGACCCAGATCCAAGCGGTCCTCTAGTTCCATGGAGTACAAATACCTTTCCATTACCATTTGGACTATTTGAAGATGCCAACAATGGCAATGACAATGCATCTGGTGGCCTGAATCCTAGTGCCCACATCCATCCTCTTCTTAACACTCGCCATAGTAATGAATCTAACAACCTCTCCAACACAAGAGGACAAAGAACTAATCGGCAGAGGCCCCGGCATTACCAATATCTTCAACTTAACATGCGCAATCCCAATCCACCTGTAATTCTTCAGCGCTTGCTAGGCCCTATTGCGGGTACTCTGCCTTTGGCTGCTGCAGCTGGACAGGCACTGGCAAATTCTGTTCGTGATTCTCGTGTGGTATTAATGGACCATGGTCTAGGCATCTTAACAAATGCTGCTGAAGAGGAACATATTGATTTGGTTGATCAGTCAGGTTATTTGTTGACTCCAGGATTGGCAGTAACAATGAGCAACACACCAACTGCGTTGAATTGGTGGAATGAAGAGTCAAAACTACTTGATAGTGAATGTTCTGCTGACCTAGTATTTGTTATAGCCCACAGTCTAGTTGGTATATTGAAGAAGTATAGAGATGAAGAATTGCACGAGCGTCAGTCTAAACTCAAGAAGCAAGTTGAAGAGCAGAAGAAATCTGAAGAGCTGGCTCGCAAGAAACGAGTTGGCAAAGGCGAATCTGAGCCAGGGAAAGAGCAAGGCATGGATGTCCAAAACATGCCAGCTACTCTTACAGAGAATCCTAATCTAGACCAAGCCATGCCAGATTTGGACCTACTTATCAGAGAACAGAATGCTGAGCTACTTGTGAGGGAACAGAGGCAAAACGCCACTAATTGTATGCTGGAGTCGCTTTCTAACTACTTGACTCCAAGCATCAGCGGCGCTGCTCTGCCTCAGCCAACGCCAGACGGCGCCCCCCTGGCGGCTGTTGTGCCACCCCCAGAAGATGTCCCGGAGTGGGGTGCACCCCCAACTGTGCCGCCCCCACCTGGCGCCGAGCCGGTGGAGGCTGTCGAGTCGCCCGCGTCACCACCCTCCGACGTCGCGCATCTGCCGCTGGCCGAGCCGACGCGAGAGGACATTCCTGACACCCCCGCCTCCCCGGACGAGGCCACACTCTCCACCCTGACGGCGGGAAGCCCCAAGCCTAGCGGAGAAGACACCACCCTAGAAGCAGCCGAGCCGTTGGCCGAGCCTCAAGCACCCCTCGGTGAGGAGGTGGCCACCACGAGCGGCCAGACAGACGAAGAGGCCGTGGCGGCCGCGGCCGCAGCCCTGGCCCTCGCTGGCGCCGCCGTGGCCGCGGGCCCGAGCACGTCCGCCGAGCCGGTTACCGGCGCCGCGGCCTCGTCCGACCCCAGCGTCCCCGAGTTGCCCGAGGGCGTGGATCCCTCCTTCTTGGCCGCGCTTCCAGAGGAAATGCGCGAGGAAGTGATTGCCGAGCAACTTCGGCTGCAGCGCATCCGTCAACAGACGCTGGAGACGCAGGCACAGGCTGGCCAGGGCATCACGCAAGTGAACCCGGAGTTCTTGGCGGCCCTGCCTCCAGCCATCCAGGAGGAGGTGCTGTCGCAGCAGAGGCTGGAGCAACAGCGGCAGGCTGCTGCTACAGCCAACCCCGAGGACCCGGTCGACACGGCCGCGTTCTTCCAGAATCTGCAGCCTGCTCTGCGGCAAGCTGTAAGTATACCACCAAACATTTAAAATTCAATTTGGTATCGATTGATAACTGTCATATCCTTCTTTCAGATTTTGGCCGATATGGAAGATTCCCAAATTTCTGCCCTTCCTCCAGAGCTAGCAGCTGAGGCACAGAACTTGAGACGTGAATGGGAATCTCGGAACAGGCACATGCAAGACAGATTCTTCTCGCACCAGGGCCCCAGTACCTTGTCTCAAATACTTCGTAGTCATCAGGCTGCATCAGGTAGTCGTGAGTACCTTGACACACTTTTGTTTTGCTTATACCTGCCTGGTTTTGATGACACAAAATTTTGTCCTTTCGTGTTTTGTTGCTTTTGTCATTTTTGGTTCATTGCACTTTTCTGTCTTTTCTGTCCCCCCGCATTTCGTAATATCTCAATACTTTTATTTTTTCCAATAGGCCGGCCTGTTACCAGGTATGCAATCCAAACAGTTCCTCAGCAGAGTCGATGGATGACTGGGAGCTGGCCTGACAGAGAACAGGCTGCCCTTGCTTTGACTTCAGGAACTTCAACTAATATTAGGTTCTTATGCAAACATTTTTCTTTCTTAAGGGTGAAATTAATTTGGTTGATGTATTAGCTTACCCTTATGCTCATACCTCCTTTTCTTCTTCCAGGGCTAGGGGAAGGCCTCTTCTTGATCATGAGGCTCTGACTTGCCTACTTGTACTCCTCTTTTTAGATGAGCCAAGATTAAACACAGGCAGACTTCATAGAGTGTTCAGAAACCTTTGCTATCATTATCAAACTCGTGATTGGATTATCAAGGTAGTTGGGCAGTCAAATTTTTCCCCTTCTGAAATACTTCTCTTCCACAACAAAGATTATTGAAATTATGTTGTTTTTATTAATTGCAGGCTTTGCTGTCTATTTTGGAAAGAAGCAATGAGTCAAGAGTAGCTGAAATTCTTCCAGCTCTACCTTCAACAGAAACACCAGCAAAATCAAAGAGAACAACTCGTGCATCCCAAGCGAAACAAGCAGCTGATGCATCCAAGAGGTGAAATATTAAAGGTCTTTGACAACAGTTTATTAGTTTCAATGTTATTAATTGATTATTTTACAGTGGAACTGGTAGTGCTATTGGAAGTTTGGCAAGGATACCTGGCGGAACATCGTGGTTAAATGTTAGTGTTGATGCAGCTCTCGGATGCCGTGCGAACATTTTCCATATCCAGAGACCGCCCTCAGGAAAGAGAGGCTATGAACGTAGCTCTAATTCTGCTGCCATAACTGTGCATAGACAAGCTGCTCCAATTGTTTGCAGGTTAGTGTATGAATCTCTTAAATTAGCTTTTTTTCATCCTCTTAATCATGGACAGAGCTCTATTCAATGGCTGTTTTTTAAATTAAATTTGTGGCAATCTTTTTCATTTTAGGCACGCTTTGGACCTGTTGATATCATTAGCAAAGAGTTTCCCTGGCTATTTCCTCCCTGCAAGACCCAAAGATCAAGAGACACCTCAAGAGAGGGTGGGAGTTGAAACCAGAAGTCGTGCCTTCTCTAGTCAAGGAGGAGCATCTAGCTCCTCTGCTGGGGAAGGAACCAGCAGTGGTCCTTCAACTTCAGGTGCCGGCCCATTTACAACAGCTTCTACAGCCATTCAAAATGAGTTTTGGGAGCTTCTGTTGAGACTAGATAGTGCAAGTTCATCAAGGAAAGGTTCGTATCAGCCAAAATAGAATATGTGACCAAAGGATTCTTTTATAAATCTAATCTGTAACAATTAATATTTTAGGAAAGAATTTGTCAAGATCCAACAGCAGTGCAGGTGTCGAACGCAACAATGAATCAGATTCTGCTCATCCCACAACTTTTGAGGCATCGGCTTTTGGCCAGTTGCTACCAATGCTGGACTGTGAAGTTGTGAAACGCTCCACAGTTCTTACCGACAAACTCCTAAGGCTTTTATCCCTTGTATCACTTGGCCTGGCAGATCCGAACCCTAATGCCGCACCAATGGTTGAAAATCAAGTTCGACTTGCTGTGCAAGTTCTCACATCTAAATCATGCTCTGAAGAAGGTTTGGAAGATACTACAGCACTTTTGCTGAACCTTGCCAGCTATAATGATGCTATGCGAGAAATGGTATGCAAGCTTTTTTTCATGAATGGTACTTTTTCTTTCGCTCTATCCCTTTTTGTGTGATGAACATAACCAAAAATGTATCCATCTATCTGCTCCCAATAGATATTGAGACTACTTTTAGAAGGAGCTATGAAACTTGCCTATACTGTGCAAGAACACATTGCTTCCTTGATAGGAGAACTTTCAACCCTAAACCAAAAGAGAGTGCGAGAAGACAGCACAAGTACAGATGATAACTCATTGGCACGCCAGGAGAGAGGACTTCTTCATGATAGGTAAAATATCTTACCAATGAATCAACACTCAATCTTGATTTAGTTGACATCTAACTCTTCTTTTAATTTTACTTTCAGATTTACAAATGACACAGTTGTTGTGACAGCACCCTCCAAACTGAAAGGTGGCATGGATCTCCAGTTGCCAAGCATGGCGCCTCTGACATCCAAAACTTCGAGCCAGGCTTTCTTCCTCCGCATGCTTAAAGTCATTATCCAGCTACGTGAGGCTGTAAGGTTGGCCAGCAAGAAAAAGACAACTCGCTTTGATGTTGAGTCCCACCCAGCACCAACAGGAACTGCCCCTTCTGCACCACCTCCAACTCAGGGTTCATCAACTGATGCTCCTGGATTATCTGGTGAGTTGTAACTGCTGATTCTTTCACCCTGACTTGATTGTAAGATAGCTTCCTGTGGTTTTGTTGGTGTGGGTCTGAACTAGTATTGTTTGTTTTGTAACTAGCTGAATGGATGGACACATCAACCCCTGGCTCGGCTGCTGCACCTGCCGCTGAACCCTCTGCTGAGCCCGTTGCTGAATCCACTGACTCAGCTGCTGAATCCACTGTAGCTTCCATCGCAATGGTCGAGCAGCCAGAAACCACCCCTGCTCCTGTACCCCAGTCGGCCGAGTCTCAGGTACCAGCTGCCCCACAGCTGCAGGTCCAGCCCACAGCTGTTGCTGCAGCTTCAGCTGGATCGTCAGAACCTCAGGTTCCCTCAGAGACCCCGCGCGTAGGTCGCGGCAGGGGTAACCGAGGAAGCAGGACTAGTAGACGTATCCAGCAAGTACCTCCGTCACCTCTTGACCAGGTTAGTTTTTTGTCCTTCCTGACATGAATGAGACCACTAATTATTATAACACTTAACATTGAATCTCTCCAATTCGCAGCAAGCTGCTTCATCCGCTGGCGCTGCTCCAGCAGTTACAGCCGCCATTGGTGCATCGGTGCTAGAGGTAGCAGGTGAGGGGGATGCTATGGATACATCATCACCTCCTGATGCACCCCCTGCTGACTTTGAACAACCCTATCCCCCAGTGTATGGAAGCGAGTATCACTTTATCAGTAAGTTTCTTGAACATACTGATAATTAAACTAAAAAAAAAAAATTGTGTAAAATACCAGTTTGGTTAATTGGGAAACTTAATCTAAACGTGATTTATTATTCCTATAGATCCTGCTGGTGAGCAACCTCCTCAGCAAGATGAAGATTTAGATTCAGAGGACGATGATGACGACGATGGCGATGACGATGAAGAGGCCGAAAGTGATGAAAGACCAGCTCTTCCCAATTTGAGTGAACAGTTGAGACTTGATGGTCTTTGGGAAACTTTGAGCACATGCTTGTTGCAACTGGCAGACACTCCCGATCACCATGCTGTATTAATGCTGCAGCCGGCTGTGGAAGCTTTCTTTTTGGTACACGCACCCCCACCCTCAGATAGAGAGAGAGAGAGGTCTGCGAGCTCTAGCAGCCGAGCGAATCCTGCTGTAGACTTGGTACCTGAGGTGCCTGCGGCACGACTTGGATCTCAAGCACAGTCTCAGACACCAGGACAGGCGTCTGGAAATAATGCTGCAAGCAGCAGTGGTGAAGAGGCCTCTCCTGCTGCTCTGGCTCTGGAAACTGCACCTTCTGCTCCTGCACTTTCACCTGACCAACAGAAGTTCCTGAAGTTTGCTGGTGAGTTCTGTTGATTGTTCACATCAGTTCAGAATATCTGTTTGTAAGACCAAGCTGCTGTAATTTGAATTCCATCTTTCAGAAACACATCGCACAGTTTTGAATCAAATTCTTCGCCAATCTACTGCACCTTTGGCCGATGGTCCGTTTGCTGGTCTCGTTGACCATGTGCGCATATTAGACTTTGATGTGAAAAGACGATACTTCCGGACTGAGCTTGAGCGCCTAGATGAAGGATTGCGCAGGGAAGAACTGGCTGTGCATGTGAGACGCTCTAATGTCTTTGAGGATTCATTCCGTGAATTACAGCGCAGACCTGTTGAAGAATGGAAGAACCGATTTTATATTGTGTTTGAGGGTACGTTATATTAATTTACTATCCCCATTTGGTACTTTCTTATATTCAACTTCTTAATGTGTGTTTGCGCAGGTGAGGAGGGTCAGGATGCTGGTGGCCTTCTCAGAGAGTGGTATGTCATCATATCTCGTGAAATTTTCAACCCTATGTATGCCTTGTTCACCACATCTCCTGGTGACCGCGTGACATACATGATCAATTCTTCATCTCATTGCAATCCAAATCACCTCTTCTACTTCAAATTTGTGGGGAGAGTTATAGGTGAGCACCAAAAAGATTTATCCCAACTAGTTCATTTCCAATTGTTAAGTATAAATTCATTATCAATCTCTCTTTTTTCTAGCCAAAGCAATCTATGATAACAAACTACTGGAGTGCTACTTCACAAGATCGTTTTATAAACATATTTTAGGAATTCTTGTAAAATATACAGATATGGAAAGTGAGGACTACAGTTTTTACCAAGGACTGGTTTTTCTCATGGAAAACCATGTTAGTGCTCTTGGTTATGATCTCACTTTCAGTGCTGAGGTATACTACTTTTATTAGATGTCAGGCACATAACAGCTCTACATTTTACAATGATCACATGAAAATTTACATTCCTCATTCTTACAGGTTCAAGAGTTTGGAGTTACTGAAGTAAGAGACCTTATACCAAATGGGAGAAACATTCCTGTTACTGAAGAGAATAAGATGGATTATATTCGCCTTGTGTGCCAGATGAAAATGACTGGAGCAATTCGGAAGCAGTACGTTGGCAATGGGTCTCTAGTAATTGTGTCATTTATTTTATTTTCAAATAATTCTGACCAGTTGTCAATTTTTAAAATTACAGACTGAATGCTTTCTTAGAAGGTTTCTATGACATTATTCCAAAACGTCTTATATCCATCTTCAATGAGCAAGAATTAGAGTTGCTCATATCTGGCTTGCCTAATGTTGATATTGAAGACTTAAAGGCAAACACTGAATACCACAAATATCAACCAACCTCGCTCCAGGTAATTAAATTACACCCATCATATTATTTTCCCTTCAGGACACCTTTGTATTTTATCTAGTCTTAAATTTTTAGTGACAAGTGAAGAATATCAAAATGATTTCTCTTTCTGTTATAGATTCAATGGTTCTGGCGAGCTCTGAGGTCTTTAGATCAGGCAGATAGAGCAAAGTTTCTGCAGTTTGTTACTGGAACATCTAAAGTGCCACTGCAAGGATTTGGAGCTCTCGAAGGAATGAATGGTGTCCAGAAATTCCAGATTCACCGTGATGATCGCTCCACAGACCGACTGCCTTCTGCTCACACTTGGTATGTATCTTATCCATTGCTATGGGTTACATTACCTACCTTTGACAGCTCATTCTAATTATTGTATCTCTTTTTCTGCAGCTTTAACCAGTTGGATTTGCCAGTTTATGAGACCTATGACAAACTACGCACGAATTTGCTCAAAGCAATCCATGAGTGCTCGGAAGGTTTTGGCTTTGCATAAAAAGCTCAGTTCAATTGTGAGTCAAAGGTGCATAAAATTCCTTCAAGTGATAGTAGTGTAATTTATTCTCAGTCTAATTCCTCTTCAGTGATGAACGTGTGTATAAGTAGTCTGAATGTGGCATGTAAGGTCTGCTAGTGATTTGCTATCTGTACAGATGTTATTTATTTTCTAATATGAAGGCTGTAGGCCAGCTGTTATTGATGGCTAATCAATAATATTTTTATGGTTTTTAAACTGTGGAAATATTCCATTTTATTATCGTAAGCTTCAAGGATTTTGTAATTTTTGTTATGTGTAAATAGAGTTCTTAATTAAAAATTAGTCTATTTTGGCAATGAAATGCTACTTATTGTTATCTGAGTGGTGAGCAGAGCTAACCCCAGTCAGTTGTAAGTGGTCAGTCTTTTAATAAATAAGTCAAACTCATCTGTGGGGTAACAAAATTTTGTATTTTAATCAAGTCTTCTGGTTGCAATAGTGATTGTCTACAAATCAAACAAATGGATAAAATAAAACGAGCTCTGTACTATGCTCTCAATTTATTCACCCTCTCCTCTCTCCAGTAAGTGTTCTTTGTATCAAATTGAAATTTCTTTCAACTTCAAAATATTCAGCCATCACAAAATTCATGCTTATCTTACTACATACTTCTCTTGGTCAAATCAAATTTTAAAAAAGTAGGAAATTGAAAGATAAGGGAAAGCCTGGGATGGACACTGAGTACTAGAGAAATTCCGCATGGTGCTCTCCTAGCAAGGTATAGTCACCATGTGCCAATGTGGGATTCAATATGTTAAGGTAACAAAAGGTGCTTATCTGCAACTTAACATTGGAAAGTGAAAAGTCATGGACATGGAGTAGACATATTAGGTAATGGAAATTGTAAACTTCTTACATGCACCTTGATTTATTTATTAAAGGGTGAAGCATGCGATAAGATGTTAGAATCCTCATTTCTTTTTCAAAAGACATTTTTTTCCAGACAGATTTAAAAGCATTGCATATTTTTACTTTAAAAAAAATATTATTGAAATTCTTTGAGCCTACATACAGTATTAACATAGGGTAACTATATCCAAGAACTGATGCATAAACTGGCTACAGGTTTACAATCCCTTTATTATTTAGACTAATAGACTTTCCCCACTAAAAACACCTCTCATTCTATAAATACTCTTCAAAGCAACCTAACATTGGTAGCAAAAGCAAATATTACAGCTAAAAAAATACGAAATGGTGTCTCATTCGCCCTATCCCAACCACAATTTTTTTAAATTTTACTCTAACAATTGTAATACAAAATGTAATAATAAATATCTACTTATTATAACTACTTATTATAAGGTTCAAAACACACAGCAGATGGAGCGGATGAGAACCAATTTGACTATCACAGATTCCCATAGACAAAACAAAGTTATTGCTCTCCCTATGGATCACATCACAGTAATCAAAAAGCTGAGTAAGGCTCAGTCATATCTGCCTCAGGCTCCAAAAAAAAAACCAAGTTTAACTATGAATTGTGAATAAAGAATACCAATTACTTTCACATCCAAACTGACTATAACAGCATCATGGCTATTCTTGATCGCTTTACATATATGAATAAGATTAAAAGACACAATTGAATAATTAAAAGCAATGTGTCACACTTAAGTGAAAAAAACATCAGATCTCATCAATCACGACAACAAAACATAGGTTGCAAGAGACCTTTTAGAGAAACCCTGTGTCCGATGATGCAACCAAAGTACAGATCAAAGACAAGATAAATTTATTTGCATGCAGTGAACTTTCATTCCTAAAAGCTACGCATCATAAAGATTTAAAAGCTAAGATATTGATATGACCCTCAATGATAGAATTTAGTAAGAAGCACAGCATTTTCCAAACACAGTACAATAGTTTTTTTTCTTTCTTTTTTCTTCTTTTTGGCAGATATTAAAATTGACCGACTATTTCTGATAAATAATCAATTGACGACCAGTAAAATGTACTTAATAATTCAATTGTCTTATCAAAATATGTCGACATCTGAAGAATCTGAATCATCAGATCCTGACAAGAAGGCCAACAGATCTAGGTCATCCAAACTATGAAGCCAGCGGTTATCCCTTTCATCAAGGAAATCCCACAAAAACATCTGAAAAAAAGAGATTAAATGGATTTGAAACATATGATTTAATAATGCGTATAGGTATTCAAAGTTCAAGCAAGTAAGATTGTTACTAACCTGTAGGACGTCTGTGTCCCCATCGGCATTTTGTCTGTGACGTCTTATTGGTGGCCCAGTATCAACTTTAGTTCCATCAGTAAGGGCATGAAGGTAAAAGCATTTGTTCCCAAAAGGACATTTACCTCGTCCTTGTTTGAAATATTTGCACTGCTTGTTGCTAAATAATAAAAGTAACGTATTAAGTTGCATTAGCACATCTAAAATTAAAAACTTACAAATGATGAGAATTATATTGATGGCATTATTCTACCTTAGAGCATCTTTATATGCCATGATAAGCTTGTCCTTCTCTTCTTTTGTATCTACCCAATACATACTAGGACACACAAAGTCAGACGTAACTCTGCATTCAGGACAAGCTCTGAAATAGAAACAGCAAGTTTAAGGATGAAGGATGCCATTAAACTAGATAGTACAACTTAACACGGATCCACATACGTGTAATGGGTTTCCTGCTAAAATTAGACTTTCAGACTCACCTGATAATTTTATTTTCAAATTGCTTTGCCTGGCGCCACTTTCGTATGCACGCAAGACAAAAACAATGATTGCAGTTGGGCAAGATACCAAATCTCTGTTCACTTGCAGGATTTTTATCCACAACCACCTCAAAACACACACCACATTGCTTATCCTTAGAACGAGCAACAGCAAAAGCCAGTTCCATTTCACGTTCATGTTGTTTAATGCAATCCTAGAAAGAACTAATGATAAATACTGCGCAAACTCAATTTTTTTATAGAAACCATGAAGAAAATACTTACATCAGTATGGGCTTTTCGCTGTTTTTCGTTGGTAGGATGCAAACACTTGTTGCCACAAAACTCACAAGTGTCACCATGCAGGTATGTACAAGCCTCTGCATATGGGCAATCCCCTGCTTCAGCATAAGGACATAAACTTGTGAACTGTGATGGAGGTAGACTATTTCCTGCAGAGGCATTTACTATTTGTGCCCATGTTTTAGCAGATGATGCTGAAAATCAAAAGATATGCAGTAAATTATAAATGTGTGAACAACAAAGTAATGTAAAAGAAAATAAGAAATATATTGTTTTCAAACCTTCTTTTGTATCATTAACTTCTTCATTAGGTAGTTCAGAGGAAGAAGGGGAGGAAAATCTACCCGGGATGAATTCTGGAGCAGTCACTCTTAACTTTGTTTTTGACTCGATTCCTTTAATTGTATCCATGCATCTGCATTGAGATAAACAAACAGACTATTACCTCGAGAGCATCAATAACTTAAACTAAAAGCGATCTGAATGATATGGTTCTTACTTTTCTTCAGATGTCTCTGATGAGTCACTGCTGTTAGAAGTTGTTTGGAGGCTAGACAAGGCAAGCAATGAATTTGCATCAGAAACAGATGTAGATGCTTCATCAAATGTGTTAATCAGACTATTTTCAGGCAGATTATCAGATCTGCTCAGACTTGGAGAATTACTATTATTTTCTATAACTTCATGCTTGTTCCGGCAATTATCACCAAACCTACAACACCCTTGCTGAAAGTACTGACATATAGTTGGTTCCTGATTGACTTGTGCACTCCTTAAGGTGCTAATATTTGTAGAACTTGTATCACCACTTAGAGAGGAAGGTTTGCTAATATTACTTTTGTTCCCACTGACATGTGGGTCAGTTTCAGCATTACTACTGTCTGAGTCATCATCTGATGTACTTTCAGTCCTTGTTGGATTGCCTTCAGCACACAATTCGCTTCTTGTATTCTTAGTCTGCTCTCCTTCAGAGGACATGTGTGATGTGCCCTCAACATGGAGATATTGACATCTATCCCCCTCTCTGCACATACCATTAGCATAGTACCTGAAAAAAGGCAGAACATGAAAATTCATTAATCATCAGAAGATCAAAAATATTTTCAAAATCTGTTGATACTAATTAATATACTACTTTGAGTAAAATAATTAAAATTATATAATGAAAGGCAAAGATTCCAATTCAAGATGAAATTACAAGCTTGTGCTGGGAAAGTCTGATAGAAGTTCCCTTTTCTTTCTTTTCATGTTTCAATGAATTTTCATTTCATTTCTTTAATACCAATAGGTCCACATCGTATACATGACCTTCATGGCTCTTGATATGAGCAATACAAACAAATTCCTTCAAGATGAAAGAAATACTTGTCTTCCAGGTGGTACTATAGGCAAGGATTTCAATCTGTTTGGACATTTGTGGACAAAGTACACAGACACAAACCCTTAAAAATAAACTGATAAGAGGCTTAATCCTAACCTTCAAGGTGTACTTGAATATAACTAAGGGTTTATCTTAATAAAGAGGCAGGAGAGACAGCTAAGGTGTAGGCACAAGGTCCAAGATTAAAGTGGAACAAAGAATGAAATGACATGTCAGAGAAACATAGCCCACATGAGATGATCCAGGTGAATCTTTATCAATCAATAGTACATTCTTCAATGCAGGTAGAATACAGGTATCAGCCATGAATGAAGTGAAGGTAACTCAGAGAAAACAATTGTTCTTACCGACAAGGAATCGTGGTCTTCCACGCCTCCAGGACCGAACTCTCTGCCATGGGGTCTTTTCGATCTAAATTTGAGACGCGTGAAAGTGTTCTTTGATGCGACTAGAAAGACGGCCGAGATTAATCCATGACAACCGCCGCAAGCCCGAAAGTACCCGAAGGTATTCCCGAGGGAAGGGCTTGCCCAGGCTTGGCAATTCGTGGTTCGAAAAGGTGCTGAGCAGGGGGACGTCCAGAATATTGCAATGGTTGCAAATGAGTATGCAATTACAGGTTGGGATGGCACCTATGCACTTTCAAAGAAAATTCAAAATTTTAAATTAAAATGAATACGAGAGCTAGTCATCAGTATAAAATGTTGATTTCGTCGGAACACGAGAACGTATTGACCGAAATTTGGACAAATGTTAAGATATTTGAGAAAAGATATGTGTCGGTCGCACGGGTCATGGTGTTCCTGCGAACCTGACGGAACTGCCACCCACCTATCCTTAAACAACAAAGTTGAGAAACCAAGAATATTTTCCGGTGGGCTCGTAGCTGTTCAACGAAGTACAAGCGGCTTTCACAAAAGTAAAGCCCTTTTTAAAACAGTCAAGTGATAGAATCTGAGTTCAGACACGTTCTGCTTTTCTGTGCGTTTGTTTGTTTGCTTCTGCTGACGTTGAACACGTGGATGAAAAATCGCCCTTTCAGAATTCATCACAATATTGAAAAACAGAAATCTTCTTTGATTTGAAGCAACACTAAAAAAACACAATAGTAATTTTGACTCTCCCATCAGTTCCAGCCCGGCATGTACTTCCCATATCATAGACGGGAACTCCCAACTTTCCCAAGATACCATTTGAGTGAGTCGTCTGCAAATTGTGATAAGGCAGCTTATTTTCAGGGAGGAGGTAATTTTCTTTCACCCGCATTCTAACGTTTTCATCCCGATGGGTCTCGCTCCTTACCTCAGGTTTCGGATTTGTCAAGAGTGTGTGGTGTTTGCGAAGGAGTATTTTTCTCCAAATCGTGTCTCATTGTTGATGAAATTTTAAGTGCGTTGTTGTGGTTATCTTTTTGACGCAGTGTACTAGTTTTGTTCGGTCGTAGAAGAAGATTGAGAGCATATAGTAGAACCAAAGGCCTGAGCCTGAGCCTGTCGTTCGGCTCCGCAACTGTCGGCCTCGCCGCTGGGCCTTTCTTTGGGTGAACTCTTGTCATTTTCAAGTCCCTGGTACCATTGAAATTCTTCTGCTCGGTGAATTTTGATGGAACGAGTTCAAAATGTATCTCGACAGTTCTCTTGTCACGAGATAAGATCTCCCTCTACACAGTCTCGACGAAGTGGCATTGAGTGTCCTGGTGTTCCTGCCGTCCCGGAACGATCAAGTTATTATGTTTGATCTGACCGACTACTCAAGGCGAAATGGCAGGGAATATGTCGTCTGCCATGGATGTTGATCCGCCTGCGAGTTTGAAGCGATCGAATAGTGCTCCCATGATAAACGAACTTAATTCCAACATGGCAGCAGCTACAGGGGCAGCATCCCCCACCGCGGCTGCAGTCAGGTTAGTCGGACTGCCTCTTTGCTTTCTACCAATTTTCTGTGTTCAAGGGCATTCTTTCATTTTTTACCCGTAATCCTTGTCTATAGTCATTAAACTGTCACGCTAGTAGCACTGAGAGATAGCTCATGACAGTCGTAACCATTTGTAATGTCATGCAAAACTATGATCTTAACCATATAACTATGATTGCTAAACAATTATACATGTCAACTTTTTATGATAAGCCTGCTGGTATTTTTTTTTTAATTTTAATTCTTTTGTTACATTAACTTTTTTATTTTATAATTTTAGAGAAACCTCATCACTTAGTATATTTCAATCAACAAGGACTCGGCGCTTCAGTGGAAGCAGTTTTACTTCCCACAGTGCTGGGGTAGGTACAAAGTCTAATATTAAATAAGCTTCCACCTTTATGAGATTCTGTTGAGTTTTCCATCACACTCCAACATTTGTTACAGAGTTCTCCCAGACCTTCACCTCGAGTCAGTCAGTTGAAAAAAGAAGAATGTTTAGATATAGCAAGAAGTGAAGCTGCTCATGAGAAAGAAATACATTCAGCCATTCAGATGTCACAATCATGTGAGGATCTTACGTTAGATCTAGCTGGAAACCTCAGTTGCAGTGACGTAAGTACAACAAGGCAAAATTTAATTGTTATAAAGTAGATAGTTTACGTTTATGCTCTGAAAATTGTTTTACCTCTATTCAATTCTACCATTAAGTAACTGTTTGGCTTATCTTATATTTGTAGAATGAGTCGGAGAGAAAAATTCTTGGGCCACGAGAACCACTTCATCTCAATCTGCCGCCCCATTCTCCTGTATGCTCTTCACCTTCACCAACCCGATCTGGCCTGAACCGCCAACTTTTTACACCAATGGGAAATAGTCCCACAAGAAAATCATATACTACTAGGTTTGTCTTGAGGTGTCAATATAATTTATTTTCCTCTTTGTCTATGATAAACTAATTCCTTTAAATCTGTTTTCAGACGCAGTCAAAGCCCTCAAATGCGAGCCAGCACCTTGGGCCCTGCAGTGAAGAGAAAGTTTGAATTAGATGATGCTGAGCAATACCGATCCCCTCCAACCAAGCGATTGAGCACAGGAAATGGAAGTGGTAATGGAAGTGGTCTCCTTATGGCCCAGCACAGACTAGACCAAGGATCAAGTCCTCTACCAGGGTCTTTGAGCTCTGTTGGTACTCCTGATTCTTTGTCTAGTGCAGACTCTCCTAACTTTACGTTTCGACCCCTGGACAGTCCTTCACCAGGACAAGCACACACTGGTCCATCGGATCACAGCCCTAGCTAGTGAACAAAGTGTGTTATATTTTCTCTAGTCGTTAAAGCATAACCTACAGTAATGTGTTGAAGCCTTCTGCATTCTGTAGATCTTATTCCTCAGGCTGTTGCTGAAGCTGTCTTAAGACCTTACATCCCATCCTGTAAATAGAACTGGGCTCTGTCTGTTGGTGGCTATGATACCAACACTGCTACTATTCATGTGAATAGAGACATGTTGATCTAAGCCTAGATTAAACACCAGACAAGTCACTGACAATCGTAGTACCTTTTTTCCATAGGTACTGCTCCAAACGCAACTCAGTTGTGTGACATGTTTCAAAAACTGGGCATGTGTTGGTTGGTGCATTGCCTTCATGAAGACTGATTGGAGAGGCAAGGTGGATGCTTGTAAGACTGAAAGTATGTTCTTCTCTATCAGATGCAAATCATCTCTAGTCAGAGTTTGGCAGGCTTTGCAACACTGTTAGTAGAAATTATCACCCAATTATTGAATTACCGTATTAACATTTCATGGAACTGTTGTTTTTCATTATCATTGTTAAGTACATATAGAGGAAAGGGTGGACTTTGATTCCATATTAGTTTTATTTGTTATCTGTGAATTATGTTAGTGAAACATCACTGGACTTTTCTAAAAAATGAAGTTTTGGATTTTTTTTCTCCAAGGTAATTAAAAAATAATAATGAGACCTGCGTAGACTTGTGATTCTTACTCAAATGGAGCTACTCATCAATTTATTTTAGCTGTAGTAATTTTGCCTTCAGCTTGTTGAATGAAGAATGTGTGGTTAATCCAGCTTGATGTTTACCAATTAAACTTAGCAGTCCTCTTGATTCTTTCTTACTCTTCTGGAAGGACTTTTCCCTCTGTATTTATATAATTAATTAGTCGTCAATGGAAAGATAAGTCTATAAACTTTGTCATTGCAAATGACTTTTCTTTGAGGAGCGAATGGAGTTAAGCTACAATACATGCCATTTATCCCTCAAACATCCTTTAATGATGTAATTTATCTGCGTATCTTCTGAATAACTTTAAAACTCCTTCAATAACTCTTTTGCAAACATTTTGAGAAGCTGTGTTGTGTAGTACAAATCAAGGAGTCTGGGAAATGTTTCTCCTCAATAGTGGACCCAGTTTTCTCATGATGAACTTTTATGTCTGTTACAAATTTATTTCTTTTACAGAGCCTTTTTTTATTTGACTCTTCTCACATCATGGTTAAATTAGAGTGAGTTGAATTTGTTTAACTGTTTTGTGTAACTTTAAAACATGGAATATTGGTTTAAAACAAATCAAAGTCCTGACAGAACTTTCATCAGTAGAGTGCTAAGAGTAACAAGAGACTATGGTTTTTTTATCTGTTTGTGACTATGTTTTATTTTTAAACGTCACATTTTATTATCAGTGCATCTAAATTTCACCGCGTGGTTTTGTGTTACTTGCGCCAAAGTTGAGAAACCAAGCAGTTTCCTTGTGTGTAACACTTTGTGTTTTTTTTACAATGTTCTGTGAGAAGCCTTCTTACTCTAACTCATTTTTTCATTAAAATTTGGCATGTCAAAATCCTTTTGTTTTTGTATTCCGCCGACACTGCCGTGAGGAAGAAAAGTCATCAAATGCTTTTCTTCATATGCTGGATCATCATGTCATATCCTAGAGAAAAATTACTTCTTATCGTTCAAATGTTAGTGTACCTTCCTACTGTAGGACTGCCAGCCTCTATGGAGCCGGAGCCATAAGGTGCCAAGGCTAGTGGCAAAAGGCAAATCCACTCACGCGCCTGTATGTGCTCTAGTATGCCCATTCGCTTCAACGAGGCACACCCAAGGCAGACTACCCATTCTGTATGCCTCACATTTTTTTTGGACACTTAAAATCTTCCTAAATACCCTTAATTCCTAACATGGCAATCACCATTGTCAAACCAATATTTTTATCCCAAGTTTCAATAAAATCGTGTGACAAGCATACCTTCTTGTTTGGATAACACATTATTTTACAGGGGGACCATGTATGGTGTGGATTCATTATATTCCTGTACTTGTTACTGACAATTATCCTGAGCAAAATATTTTGTTGATTCTAGAACATTATTCACTGTCTATGATTTAAAATCACTTAATTTCGTTTCTTTAGAAAATCAGGATATGATGTAGTTTAGATTCTAGAGACTGACTACCCAGCTCTGTAATTTTTCTGCCCTTGAAAATCTTAGCTGTTATATCTTGTTTTATGTATTAATGGGTTCTTTTCTCTGGATGCTACAAATAAGGTTGCGGCCATGCCTGATGTTCTCTTCTGTACACCATTTTTACTTGGCATGTTCAGCAGAACTTTTAAGATGTTTGCTGGGTTTTCGATCCCCAATGATTTTTTTTTTTTTTTTAATTTCTATTGTCTACCTTGAAGGTACTCTATTCCCTACCCACACTGTCTCTCTGCTCCTTTTGGTCTGTATGTGCGTGTGTTGCACCCAAAGATGCACTTTTTAATTTAATTAAAATCATAATGATTAAACTTATATAATGTTCAAAACTGTAATGGACGACCTGTTAAATATTGTGTTGTACACTTAGCCCTCAACTGATTTCATTCAAATTAAGTGTCCATCTGTTACCTCAGAACTTTTTTCTAAGGACTAACAATCTGACCTTGCTCAGCAGTAGCAGCAGTGTTGTACCTTCCTGATTGGAGTCGTGCCTTCTGACAGATTCCAAAACTTTATTTTTCCATATTTTACCCGTCAAAGTAGCTACAATCTGTCCGCTTTTCCTTTTTCTGTTCCCTTTTACACTGAGCAAGTGTTGGGAATTTTACACTAAAATAACAAAGACATAAATGTGAAGAGGCACTTGAAACAAGCTTGGAAGCCTTATTCCAATTTTCACGACCTTCACCAACTTGCCACCTCTTTCAAACGACCCTGGGTTGGGGTCTTTAGATCTTCATGCCAAGTGAGCTAGGAGCTATTCCGAACCTCCGAACAACACGCTTGAATTCCACTTTGTTGGCGCTTCCTCAAGAAACGCTGCCAACACAATCGACTCCCTCCAACACCGAAGGTCAGACGCAGACGATATCAAATTTTCTTTAGGAAAAGAACTGCGAGAAGTTACATTTTCCAGTTACTTGTTGTCATCTTTCAAAAGATCAAGCAGTTTATAGTAGTTTACTGAAGTTTATTGTGGAGACTTACGAAATAATGTCGATCACGGTAACACTTCAACACTTTTATATCGGAAAGGTGTCCATTTTGAAATATCTGCAACATGGCTTCCGCTAGGAAGAAACAGGACGAAAAACACCTCAAAATTTTACGAGATTTAGTGTCAAATCCTTCGAATCGACAATGTTTCGACTGCCATCAAAGAGGGCCTACTTATGTCAACATGACAATCGGCTCGTTTGTCTGCACTTCGTGTTCCGGGCTCCTGTAAGTACATGGAGCAGAAGCTGGCCTACCCAACCCTGCGGGAAAAGTGACATTTACCTTGTTTATTTCTCTTGTTTATTTCGCTTGTAGTTTCATAGTTTGCAGTGTCGACACCTGCGTGTTTATTATTACTTTTAATCTGGAGTCTCAAAATAAACCATGACCTTAAAGTCGAATTTTTGATTACAATAACCTCTTTAGCACCCTTGTAGACCTATGAGTCATAACTGATGATTTTGCTCCATGGGCATTTGTCATTTTTTTAGCCCACTGTTTTGAATAGGTCTTATTTTTACTCCGATTTCCCAACGCAGACACGATTTGAATTATAATTAATTGCACACCTGGAATCAAGTGCTGATTTCCTAAAAAAATAATATTCATAAAAGTAGTTCTGGAAATCATGAATGTTCTAGCAAGTGTACCCAACTACTTAAATATCATTGAAGAAGCTCTCATTTCTTTAAATTTATTATATTTACCCAGATATACCCTCTGTAGTACATTTTAAGCTGCCCTCTTGTTGATTTCTTATCAGTCCTTGGCTGAAGAAATTAATATAAGTAAACAATATTTGTATGTAAATATGTATTCATTTGCTTCAATTTTGGTTACAGGAGGGGCCTCACTCCACCTCATCGAGTCAAATCTATTTCAATGGCCACCTTTACACCAGAAGAGATTGAGCTTATATCATCACGTGGTAATGAGGTGAGATGTCCTGTCAGTATGATCTGAATACTTGCAAATACAATTCTTTTCTGATCTCAACATTTTATTTTGTGCATGTTTTTGACTTGGGTTTATTTTTCTGTATCTGCTCATGCAAATGGCCTTTGGGGGTGTTTGTCCCCTGGGAATGGGTCAGCATTATCTCATGACAGGAGTTCTGTTCAGGCTCCTGTTTTTGTGTGTTCGTGTATTAGAAGCACCAGTTTGTCCTGAACATCCCACCATCTTTCTGTTTCCTCCAGTATTGCCGTAGAATATGGCTTGGTTTATATGAGCCAGGCCGTATGACTGAGACAAGAGATGAGCAGGGAATCAAAGACTTCATGATTGCAAAATATGAAAAGAAAAGGTAATGTAATTGTTCTATTGTTGTTTCCCCTGCAATAGTACGCTAAACTCAAATTATGTATAAATAATATATATTCTTGGTCTCATAAAAGGTACTACCTTGATCCCTCAATGGCTAATATGAATGGGGCAACTTCTCCCCCGGCATCCTTATCAAGTTCATCATCAACCTCAACTTTAAACTCATCTAATGCTGCAAGTGCCATCTCACCAATTAAACCCCTTTCTAGTTTAGTTGGTAGTGTTACTTTGCCTGTTTTAAGTACAGTCAGCAACCCTGTGAGTACGATCACTCCTTCTTTAAAACGACAGCTGTTTGATGTGACAATTGTTTTTCAATCCTACTGTCTACTCACTTTTCAGATACCAGCAGCCCCAAATTCTTTTACTCCAGATGATACCTCTTCTGGGTTTTTAGTGGATTTTGGTAATATGCCATTAGCAAATCATACTACTATGGCTGGTAACAAAGTCGATCCCTTTGCCCTCCCATCTACATCCTCTATTACCAATACAAATTCAAATATGAATTTTGCAGACTTTGATAACAACCCTATTTTTGGCTCATCAAATGGTAAGTTTTTTGTTGTAAGGGAACTTTTCCAGTGGTATTTTTTCTCCTCTTGTATTTTTTTTTAAGTATGACTGAAAATTTCCTAGTTTTATAGAAATTATGTCTTGTTTTTAAACCTTCCACAAATTTTAATCAACTATTGGTGTACTCTTTGTCTTATTTTCTGCAAGTTCTCTATTACATCTTACAGTTACTCACCTTTATTGCAGAAACAGACTTCTTTGGAAGTTTCCCCCTCTCAAATTTTGATGCTGCTCCAACCCAATCTTCTACTTTTCCAGCATTTTCTTTGAATGGGGATGCCTTTAGCATCTCAACTAAATTCAACCCTAATTGCTGGAGTGAGTGCAAGACTATAGTCCAAATGCCATGCCACAGTTTTATTTCTTTGCAATGGTGTGCAATGCAAATATGTTTGTTATCCTCACCCAGAGTTTTGTAGTATATAAAGCAGACCCAACATCACTACCATTTGCATGCTACCATTTTCCCCTTCTTTTTGGGTGTTGTTTTATTTGTTTTCGATTTCTGAATATTATTAGTACAAATAAAACCTTGAGCTTTTTTTAGTGTCACAAATTTCACGTGAAAATGTTAAATGAAACTACATTAAACTAACATTTATTTACTTGTACTGGGTGGCTGACTCACGACGCGCACTTTCGTAGTTATACTGTACCGCATGCACGCGTGCGAGTGGGTTTCCTTCTCGCACGGGGCGGTAAGGAGCCGTAGGGAGCGAAGATAGGCAAAACCGCCCGCCCACCCGAGTGCATGCGATGCGATACAGTATAACAACGACTGTGCGCGGCCTGAGTCAGCCACCTGTTATGTAATAAGACCATAAAATTTAGTATGTTCTACCACATTGGCTTGCTTTTAGTTTGAGTGTGTTATACAATGTAATGGCTTGCGCAGAACTATGCGACACACTTTCCCTCTTTTTATTATTTTTTCTTGACTTCTTACATGCTCTCTGAAGAGTTTTTCATTATCATATGGCCTAAATGTCTTTTTTATGGAAATGAAAATTTGGGTACAGCAGACTTTTTGCCTATTTGATTTCCCTTCAGGAAGTTACCAGAATCTGGGCACATTGTGCTCATAGTGTTCAGTTCCAACCACTGTTGGTGGAGAATCTTCCCTCTACAGTACCCTTCACTAAACCTCATGACCTGGTACCACAGTGCGCTGAAGTCTTTTCCTAATTTTTTCTTATTGTGATGTAAAACTTTCCATTTCTGCACCTGATTTCCCAATGTTTCAAAAATTTCAATGGAAGGTTTTTCATTGACTTTTGTATGGAGCTTTCATTCCTGTATGGACTTTTCATTTATATTTCTATTTTCTAGGGTTGCCTTCAAATTCAATACCAACATCACAGAGTTTTCCTGGAGTGAGTCAAAAATCATCAAGTGGTAGTGGTAATGCCTTCCAGCAACCTCCTGCAGAGGATCGCTATGCTGCTCTTAAAGACTTGGATTGCCTTATGAAGTCGCAAAACTCAGAACCGAGTTCAACTCAAAGTGGAGCCCAGCCAGACTGGAGCCATGGTATGTATGTCAAACGGCACCTAGAAGTCGAATAGAGGTCAGGAAAATTCACGAGTGCTTTAAGCCACATTTTTTTATGGGATTCTGTGTTTACTGACACGCCTTTGCTTTGCAAGGTTCAGGGTGGTCACGCAACCTGGAAGTCAGGGAAAAGTCAGGGGAAAAAATATTGGTCAGGGAAGTCAGGGAAATTGAATGTTGGTCAGGGAAAATGACTGAATCTTGCCCCAAATTGTTGTTTTCAAACTTTCGGTGGAATTTTCAATTTTTGGGGATGCAAAAAGTTCCACTTATAATCCATTTAAAAGTTAGGGAATATGCGTAAAAAGTCAGGGAATTTGAAAACTCAATTTGCGTGGCCACCCTGAAAGGTTAAAAACTTGCTGGAAAATTTATTTTTTTGTTCTTTTGTCTGGCAAGCCCAACATTGATTAGTTCGGCCAGATTGCTTCATTCTCATTTTTGGATGACATTATTGTGCCAGACTGTAACTCAACGTGTTTGTAACTACAAGACCTTCAGAACTATTGACTACCTCTTTTTTTTTTTTTTTCTTCACTCAGCATCTCCTCCGGCACCATCCTGGTCTGCTTTTGGAACATCACCACAACCAGGAGGATTTAACTCTTCTGGTTTCCCCTCTGACAGCAGCAATGCTCCTTCTAATGCAGGTCCAGGCACTTCAAATCCTTTTACTAGTATGTATTTAATCTAATCTCTAATGTAAAATGACAGGAGTTGTTGCATCTTGTATTGATTATATTGATTCAATCACAGGTTCTGTATCTAATCCATGGGGCGCTGCTGATGGGGCTGTGGCAAATCCATTTTTATCAGGACAATCTAGACAGACTGGTAAGTACCAGTTGCACTTTGATACTGTGAGTTTCATCTCTTATTATTTTCTTTCTTGTCTGCATTGCACAGTCTTTCTTTCCTTTCAGATCAGTCATTAGGATTTGCGTGGAATGGAAATGGCTCAGGTGTAGGACTGAATGGCACATCACCACTGAATGGATTTCATACTAATACCTCTGCATTCCCCACTAGTCAATCTCTTACTTTTCCATCCAAAAGCTGGAATACCGAGCCTGCTGGTAATCCATTTGTGGTAAGTTTCACCTCTATTATCATTCAAGTAGGCTGAAGTAGAGTAATGGAGTTAGAGTCTACTTAAACAACAAATTTTATCTATCAATTTTTCCACAGATGGGACCAAGAACCACAACTGGAAGCCATTCTAACAACCCATTCTTATAAGGATGATACATCCTGAGTATGAGTTTCTTACATCATTTAAAAGCATGTGAAAATTATCAAGTTTGACTAAGGTGTCATTACATCGATTTGTGCAATTTTATGATGTATGCTTTTACTATGTGATTGCCAGATATGTTTTTCCTGAATTTAATTTTACACATAACTTGAAAGCTTGACTTCAGTGTCACTGGTCAATTCTGATCCGGAGAAATCTCTTTTACATTCAAGACTTCCATGTATAATGCATTTCTGGTATTCATTAATTTTAACTACTGACTCAGCTATCATGTCAATGAATGTAGAATATGCTAATATGCAGCACTAATTGTGACAGCACCTACTATTCTTTGAATCTTTCTCTGTCAGTACACCTTACAGAAAATCATCAATTTGTTTTTCCTCATGTTTTTGTTATTTAATCAACAATTTCCCTTAAGAACAAATAGTGAAATACCTTAGTTTCATTACAGTAGTGTGATGAAAGTGACAATAGGCTTGTCAAGCCTTTGTGTGGGTTGCTTTTCATTTTTGAAAATTTCCCTACAACGATAATTAACTTTGTAGTCTATCTGATTGCTATCCAAAGGATTTGTATCTATTACTTTCTTAGAGTATTCATTGTATGCTTCTTTTGTGATCTACACATGTCATATCACTTTTTATTAAGCATTTGTGTTTATGTAGTGAAACCCAATTTTCTTGCAGCATGTAATGCAGGCTTACTCTTTATTTTTTTAGCAATCAATATTACTTGCTCTGTTCAATCAGTGGACTTATGCATCCTCTTGTTTTTCTGCAAAAACTTTATTTGGTATTGATTACATTTCATGAATGTGACAGTAGTCATTGGGAAAAACCTAATGTGTCTTTGACCTATACTCAGTGAGCTGGAAGTCATCAAGGTTAAATGATATTTGATACATTTGTGAGTTGGTTATAGTCTGATCAGTTTGTGTTTTAATCTACCAATACTTGAAGGTGTTGTTCTCATCAGCTTTACATGTATTGTTATAACTCTTATTTATTGATTGACCTACTCTATATATTGTTATATTTTGAATCTCCTGGGGACATACACATGATACAATTTTGTGACCTTTTCCAAAATTCAATTTTACCTAATTTGATGGTACTTTTGAAAATCTTATTGTGTATTGGGTTGTAATCTGCAAATATTGTTATTTTTTTGTAATTTATCGATGGTGCATTGCAAGCAATTACAGGTTCTGATCAATTTAGTCTCGGTGAAGCCAGTGAAGCTGAAGCCACTCTGTCATTTGTTTTGAGTAAACTGATTGGCTGAATGAGCCAACTTCAAGCTGGTTTCGGCCAGTCAAATTATCCTAAACAAATGATGGGTTAGCTTCAGATTCACTGGCTTCACTGAGACTAAATCGATCATCGCTGCATCAACCATATCAAGTGTTACTGGGATGTATATAAACTTTCTTTTTCATGCTTTGGGTTAATTAACTTCTTTTTTTTTCATGTAACCCTCTGTAGCTTGTTTGATTTCAAAGGAACTGACTTTGTCTGGAAAATGTGTTAATTTCAGTGTTTAAGACAATATGAGTTGAAGCTAACAAAATTCGAGCCAGTTTTTGGGTGAATTAAATTTTCTAAAACTCCACTCCTAGACTAAATTTTACTTTTGCCTGAATATTCTGTAGGAAAACTTTGTAACATAAGTCATTGGAGTGATGTTTTTTTTTCTTTTTTTTTTCTTTCTTAAGATTGTAAATCAATTTACCATAGTTATGATTGTTGAAAATAAATTGGTATATTTTATTCTGTCAATTAAATCCATCTGATGGTTCTTTAGGTAGTTTATTGTAGACATGCTTTACTCTCGGAGAAAGCTGAGTTTAGTGTAACTTTCAAATGAGAAGTATAAAATCTGTCCAATATCTTGATTTCTGAAATGAATTTGTTGTGAAAACTATTAAGTTTTGGCTAAATTATATTGCATGTTATGTCTCTTATCAGATGGGGGTTATTATTGTCACCATGTATTTGTGATATTAAAGAAAAGGCTTAAAAATTGAATATTTTAGTGAGGTATTCTTGCTAAAGAGAATGTTTTATTTATAAGTACTGAGATTTTTATAGTTGTGTATATGGAATGATAATTTATCTGTCACCTTTTCATGCAATCGTCTACCTGTCCATAATATTAGGTGCAAGTTTGGTATTCCAAAACCTCTTATTCAACCATCTAGTGAACTTGCCATCTGGTCATAATCCTTGTGATTTTGGTATAGATTGTATTTTTTTAACACAATCCAGTCCATCATGCGGTCTGATATGTTGTTCCCTAAGTCATTGTGGCTGTTTTGATGCGTGGATGTGTAGTTCCTCCTACAGAACTAACTTGTGGTTTAATGCCTTTCCAAGGTGGTGGGGGCAGTATCAGCATGGTTTCTGATTCAGCATTATATTTATAGGAAATTTAATCATCTGAATTTGACACAGTTCTCACTCTGAGTATGTATGTGTTTTGTTCAGACTGTTAAGTATATTGGAAATTTTGCTGGGTTTCAGCTCTAGCAGTTATTATGGCTGTCTCATGGTTATTTCTTTCTTGAACCAATGGTCTGCTATCTTTGTTTTCTCTTTTTGTGCCTTTTATATGCAGTGATATGATTGCATTCTGGACTTGTGTTCTGTAGGGATGTGGAGAGTTAAAGTATCTTAAGTACAGTATGCTATAGAAAATGTTTTTAAAATGTTTGGCTTCAGTGGGCTTTTGATAAGACCTGATCAGATTCAAAACTTTCATTTATGACATTGACCAAAGCAACTAAGTATTGTTCAATAGTGAAAGTTCTCCTAACTAACTTGGTTTGAACTTCTATGACTATTTTTGAGGAATTTATACTTTCTCCTCAATGCTCTATTCATTTGAATACGTAGTTTTGATGGTGCTGCACTATGTAAATCCTTAACACTGTTTAATTGTCAAGTGAATTTTACTGTAGTTGAGCAGGTTTATTAAAGCAACTGACTATTTGGCACCATCTTATCTGACATGATGGATGAATTCACTGCTCTCTGAAATGTAGTTATATTATTTCATCTTTGCCAATGCATCACCTTCATTCCGTTATGATTTTGTATTTAAGTACTAGCTTGTAAGAGAAAGCAGGGTAACCACTTACTATTCTTGGAGTTATTAGCTTTAGGAGTGGCTAAAAGTACAGCAGTTGAGCCCTTCTATAATGATTGTCACCTTTACACTAAAAATTAATTTTGGAAGCCCTCTCAGACTTTTGTCTAATATCGCATCGTGATCTTGGGAATGAGCCTAAACGATAAGTCAATGCTCTCTGCAACTGTAATCACACTTCTTCACAAACCAAAAACTAGGATGTGCTATGTTATGTATCAATGAGCCTTTAAGATGTGTGAAAGAAACTCTCTTGAGCTCTTGTATTGCTGAATCATACTGTAATATTTTGTATTTAAAAATCTTATTTTTGTAATAATAGGCATTTAAAATAAATAGAAAATATAAAAATTGACATGTAAAATTAATTAAAATCTCCCTCCTGCAAACCTAACACTGGTCTTAAACTTCACCAAGCATAAAAAAAGACCTCAAGGACGTGTCGGAAATTTTCTTACATAAAATCGCACACCTCCTGTTGCCTTTAGTGAAGTTCATGTGTCGTTCCAGACAACAAGAGGGTGTCTCGTGACCAGAACTCTCTCTTTCGATGTTATTGTTTGCACCGTTTGCACGGGGACGAGGTCAGAGAAAGAGTACGCTCACGCCATGCCGTGCCAGCCGTGCTGTCGAAGTGGTCCTCCTATCTTGTGGCCCTCGCCTGACTCACCGCCACATGTTGGTTTCCCACGTCCTTCTGGCCCTGACCAAATACGACCCCACCCCTGCCGAGTGATGGAGCCGGGAGCCCTCGAAGTAAGTGGACCTAGGTGGACCCCACCCGGCTAGTGCGGGACGATGGCAACCCTGGCGCGCGTCCTGCAGTCCTGCGCCCTGGCGGTCGCCCTGGCGGTCGCCCTGGGGGCACCCCAAGCCCTGAAAGCTGCCACCGACAGCGAGGTGTCCACGTACGGCGCGGCGGTGGAAGTGGCCGCCAAGGAGGCGCAGCGGCGGGGCGTCCACCGTGCGGCCGCGCTCGTGTGTTGGGGGAGCGGTGAGTCCCTCCCCTCGGCCAACCTGTGCCCTGAGCCCGCCCATTGACGCGCTCCTGGCCTCTATCCTGGCCCCGCGCGGCACATTTGCAGCAGCCGAGCGGCGCCTCGTCCTTGCGCTCTCCGCCGTCGGAGTGGCAGTCTCCCTCCTCCGAGGCCGCGATCAAACGACGGCCGCCGCGGTCGACAGCCTGCTGCGCGAGGGTAGCGGACGTACCGCCATCATCGTGGACATGGCCTGCCCCGCGGCCCCAAGGCTGCTCCTATTGGTGAGATTCTTGCAACGCAACCCTCGCCGAGAAGTCAGATTGTGGGTTTGACGTTCAAATTTTGTTGACCACTATTTTGAGTACTCTGAATGTGCTGTCACTCGAGTCCATATCATATACGCCCCTGTGGGGAGATGAGTATACAGTCCCTCACGCCTCACAGCAGTAGAGTTTTGCGAGGGTGTTTTTCTCACTGGGGCCGAAGGATCACCCATAAAGTACGGCCGTCACTCACCGAACGAAACTTTTTTAAAAAGTTTAGCGGATGCAAGCTCTCTTAGCGCCTGGAAGGTAGGCGACACGGTGCCTGCACTGCATGCGTGTACTGCGGGAGGGACTACCCCGAGCCTCGCGGGCGCCGAGCTACCGTAATTAACGGAATGAAAGAGTAAAACGGACGTACTTTGGGGGCGATTCCTTACCTGCACAGAGGCATATGCCGGCGTTCACTTGTTTGGGGAAGGTAGATATTCGAGTGACGACTGTAAATGACGTGAATTGTGCTCCAGGCCTCCAAGCTCAGACTCTTTGATCTGGCCAACTCCTGGTTTCTCTTCGAGAACGGTCGGCTGGACCCATACGCGAGTGAGGACTCAACCGTCAATCGCACCCTGTCGTGGGACCCCGGCGTTGTAAGTAACACTCCGGCAGGCGGCGGTTTTGGGGGAGAGGACGGCCAGGGGTGGTGCAGCTAGATTGTCCGACCCATTTTTCTCCGACCTGGCGATTTTTCCAAAATCCCCAAAAGTGCTGTCCGACCTAGGTTTTGTCCTACCAATTTTTTTCCGACCGATTTCTCTCCGACCTTGTCGATATGCTGAAATTTGGGAAAACTCCTGCAGTTATACTTTACCGCACGTTTGGTTTTCCTACCTCAGGGGGCCGCAGTGCCTAACGGGCATTGAAGGTAGGCAACACGCACGCCTGCGTGCGGTACAGCATAACCACGACGACTGGCGGGTTCGCCTACCCCAGGGGTGGCCGGAGCGCCTTACGGGCAGTGCGGCAGTGTGCCCGCGTGGAAGGATGTGCATTATGACTGTAGTTAAAACTGTAGACATCGAACTGCAGTTGCGATATACTATCTGAAACTATAGGTTTACTGTAGTCATTATGCATCTCTTAACTTTTAATTGTTCCGTAATTCCATTTATATAATGACAGCAGTCACACTGATTTTACTTTTACAATGTTGGCTGCATTGCGCTCTACAAGTTAAAACTGTAGTTATAAGTACAGTCTTAGAACAGATATTTGAGTCTTACGAGTGAATTTCATTTTCGTGTTACAAACTGCGCTTAAACATAATTTTCAAGTATAAAACTGCCATACTTTAGATTTCAATACTGCTGCAATTCATCAAAGCAGTTATTTTTTCAGTTATATTTCAATCAGACTGTTGTTATCTTAGACTGAAAACCGCAAATATAGTTTACAGTTTCGAACTGTGCATATATTGCACTTAAAATATAAGTAGACTTTATGTGACAACCTACACTCAGAACGTCTTTTTTACCGACAGTACTCGCTTGTTGCTTCACCTATGCGATGAGTTTGTCGACTCCTTGCTTGGTCGGTGGGGTTTTACGTCGCCTAGCCTATAGGCGCGCCCTTCCGAGGGCTTACCTGCCTCTTAGTCGTGCCAAACAACCGGTGGTTCCTCCGTATGCGTACAGCAGAAATATGTCCCTTAGCGGGGTCGCTACCCAAGTACCTCACCCTAACGCCAACGAAATTTCTGTTGTTTTCCGATTAAGAATCGCTTAGGCAAAATTTTGTTATTCGTGATATCGACCAGGGAAGGGGACGTTATAGTTATAAACGGGTTTATTCACGAAAAAAAACGGACAAGGCTCAGGAACCCCACATCGCCATAGTTGAATTACAGAGAAACTGTAGTTAAACTGTAGTTAGACAAGTAGGCCGAAGGGCCGGGACCCTTGGAATGACACCAGGTTACTGCGGCACCACAGCTATCGTGTCGCAGTGGCTCAGTGGTCAGCGTACCGGGCTCCCAACTCCGAAGTTCGAGGTTCAACTCCCGCCTACATCCGAGGTAAAACCAATGTAATAACTATGAGGTAATAACTGAAATCAACCATATGAGGTAAATAACTGAATAGGAGGGAGAAAGAAAGACCCAGAGAGGGAAAGAGGTATTTTTAACACTATGCTTTAGAATCATTTGACACTTAAGTTTAATTGTAGTCCGAAACACAGACAACTTGTAGATCGAACTATATTAATATCTGTAGATAGAGTGCGCGAAAACTGCAGTGAAAGTGAGGAGTGTTCCAAATCTTTACACATTTTTTTTAGATTGACTGCAGTGAAACTGCAGTTGACTGTCATTTAACTATAGTTTTCTATTAAATAACTACACTTAAAGTGCATGGTGCCAGATGCAGTTCGTATGCCCTTTTATTGTACTTGCAAATTACATTTGTGTTTGTAAAATACCAACATTACTTCAGTACAAATACTATGCTCACACTACGGTTCTAGCAAAAGTTCCGTTGCAGTTCACAAGTGTATTTCAAACTGTAAATCTTTCCACGCGGGTGGCACTAAGCTTTTGACGTTAATCACCCCCGTGCAACCGGAAGTTAAAATACCTCTTAGAGCCGGATTCATTTTACCTGCAAAATTATCAAAACTGAAAAAAAATGTGGGTTTGACGACGAGTATTAGAACCCCCGGTTCACAGTTCAAACATCGCAGCGAAATCAAAGAGCCACGAGGCCGGTCTCGAAGCCACAGGAGAGAGGGTGCCGTGATGGAAGCGGTTCTTCCCCCGCTCAAGATACTGCGCTGACTCGTGCCTTGAGCCTAGCTCGCCCGGCCACCCACACTGTGGCGTCGTAGCCGCGCCGGTAGAGAGTCGGCCCCGTGCGCCACAAGTCAGGGGTTCGTATCTCCGATACCAGCTACATTTTTCTGAACTGGTCGAACTCTTGGAGTTGAACTTAAACCCGTCATTTAACGGGGCACCTTTGTGGATGAACGAACGGTCTGGTGGTTAACGCTGTCCCACTGGACCGGGGGTGACGATGACTCGGCACTGGGGTCCCATTAGGGGCAAAGGTTCGACCCTCGGCGAAAGCGTGCCGAGTAAGGGCCATCCCAGCCACAGCGGGAGTGGTAACCCGTGTGGAATCGATAAGTCCTTAGAATCTGGCTCCTCGAAGGGATTCCA